ATGATTCTCTTATCTTTTGTTTCTCTCTTAATTTAATTTCTTGCGCCGCTTCATGGGAAGCAATTGCCATCGCCAGGGATTTAATGCTAGTAACTGGGATACTCGGATTACCGAGATTTGCAATGGCCTGGTCGCGTGAACATTCTAGGCTCGGCAGGAGAACGATGAGTTTGGCTTGTTAGGGTATGGGAATCTGTTTCTATCTATGGTATAGAATTGTAATAACTTGGCGGTGATTGAGCTGGGGAGGCTATATTGGTGGTTCATCAAAGATCCATGGAGTGGCAGATTGAGGTCAATGCTTCTTGCTAAAAGTCACCGTTTTTGAACTTGTGAATTAGTGACGACGATCATGAATTCAAGATTGTGTAACCTTTCTTCTTTGTGTGACCTGAATTAGTGGTGACATTTTGTGAGACGATTGAGTTTTGGGTCGTGTGTTAGTCGACACATAAAACATAGGGTCCCTTAGCTGTGGGACACTCTGGGACGTGATTTGTGTGGAAAGTTACACCTGCAGAATCGAGCGGATGAAGGGTGAAGCGATGGATTGTTAACGTTCGCAGAACGCAGGCCATTCCTTGCACTCTGTACAGACTTGTGCAAAGTGAGTATGTGACGCTTGGACAGTCATGATATGGGATGGTTCATAAATCCTGGCCAGAAGAACCCAAGGTTCCACTTTGGTTGTTGCTTGTGCAAACATTGGCTCCAGACTGGTGGACGATCGATCTTCGTCAGCTGAGTAGCGAGACAGTGGGAGAGATTTATCGATCGATAGTAGCATTTGTGTTATGTGTCCGTAGTGTAAGTTTGTTGTATGTGTAAAGGAGGCTGACGATGGTGGAGATAGTATCTCTATTATTAGTTCTCAGCTTCCAACCTCAGCAATTCAGTCCAACAACTGCCCAAAGAGCCGTGAAAACCCTTCATTAAACGATTTGTTTCTAGACACACGATGAATGCATATTCACACGCATTCTTGTACACAAAACATACTGGACCGAACCTGTTCTCAACCAAGTTTTTCGACCTCAACTGGCTGGTTTCAGAAGAAGCTGGGGTTGACGTTAGCTTGGCCCGAGACTGGTCAGCCACCCGCGAGGGAAACCCCTGCAGCAACAAGCTTGGCCTCCGTTAATTGTCCGTGATTGGGTGGCCAACACCGCTGGAATAAACCTCATCCACTAAGTTTCCAGCGGACCACTAAAAAGCCCCTGGCCCCTGGCATAGATGGGTCTGGGATCTGGGATGGGTGGTCTCAGGGGTTCAACTTCTTTTTGGCGTGTGGTTCGATGGAAGAGGAAGTGGATGGGATCCGTCTCATGGATGATTCAGAGTGCCCACTGAGAATTGTGATTTGGGGACTTTGGAGGGGACCCTGCACGCTAAAGAGTTGGAGAGACTCCTGGCGTGAGGCTCTGTAGAGCACTTTCTCCCCCAATACCATCTGGAAGCCGTGAGGTCCAGGGCGTCGCTTCAACTTCGTCACCCCCTTCTTGTCCACTCCAAACCTTGCATCTCCTTGGCTTCCTTGCTCGTCTCGTCCATCCTTTCTCCTCTTGGGGCTTTCTCCTCTTTTTTACTCGCATCTTTGCCTTTTGACTTTGTTCTATTCCTTCCCTCTTCTCCCTCTTCCTACTCTCATCGTCTCATATCTCTCTATTTGTTGCATTATAATCTCAAATAAACAAGAAGCGTCTCTGTTTTTTCTTTCCAACTCTCACACTCTCTATTGTTTTGTCAACTATCTGATTTTGCCGTCCGAACAAGGACATGCTGCTTCCTTTGCGGCATTGTCGACTATTAGCCTCTCATTTCAGCGTCACATAGACAGAAAACACCAAACCAACTACGAACAACCAACAAAATTAGACTCGACGACGACCTCATTACGTCTCCCAAAAAGACTCTGGTCTCACGATACGAAACACCCCCGAACGACTTTAACGCCGGCACGTTGGACATTCACGGGTTTTCAGGCAATTCGTTGCCCCTTATCTTCTCTTCTTTCCAGGTTGATCCTCGGCCTACTTCTGTGCGCGTGCTTGCACTGCTTTGCCGACACCTTTGAGATATCTTCTTGATCTCTGACATTCATTGTTCTCTTTCCAAATTGTTTCTCTATCTTCGTCTTTCATTCATCGTCTCTTGATACCATTCCTTAAAGTCTTCTTCCGTCAAACGAATTCCAACTATTCCTCGATCTTTCCTACTCTATATCCCATCCTTCTTTGGATATATCGACATACCTATCACGACAGAAACTTCTTCAAGCCGATTCCTCGATCAATTCCGAACGAGCCACGAATTTCCCGTATTTCTGTAGTATTTTCTTGCACGACATACACTCAACATGACCCGAGTTCACTCTAACTGGAGTGCCTGGAAGGTGGCTGTAACGGCCGCGACCCTCGTCACCGGGGTTCTTGGTGACAACATTCTCAAGACATCCGGGGTTGCTGATTGCGGTTCAGAGCCCGGTATTAGCATCGACAAGCTGGACATTAGTTACGACAACGACAAACAAACTGTCACTTTCGATGTTGCGGGTACCAGTGACAAGCAGCGAAATGTCTCTGCCATCCTCGAAGTCAACGCATATGGCCGCAAGGTCTACGAAAACTCAATCAACCCCTGCAGTAAAGATACTCCCATCCCACAGCTCTGCCCTCTTCCCGACAAGCATTTCGCTGCCGCTGGAAACCAAAAGATAGACTCGGAGTGGGCCAATAAAGTTCCCTCCATTGCTTTTCAGGTCCCTGATATCTCAGCTCAAGCAACTCTCCGACTCGTGTCAGTCGACAATCCTGAAGAGCAGGTTGCGTGTTTCCAGGCTCAGGTCGGCAACGGAAAGACGGCTTCGGTTCCCGCTGTCACTTATCTCTCTGTCGGTGTTGTTGGCGCCGCCCTTCTTGTCTCAGGTGCATCCGCAGCTTCGTCCGCTCTTAGTGGTACTGCAGGTGCTGGACATGGTGGTGCTCCTAGTCCCAGCTTTGCCGAGACTCTCGGATGGTTCCAGGGCATGGCCATGAACGGCATGCTTTCAGTCGACTACCCCCCTGTTTACCGCAGCTTTGTCAAGAACTTTGGCTTCTCAGCTGGTATCATTCCATGGGAGTCTCTGCAGAAGTCTATCGATACCTTCCGTAACATGACCGGAGGTGATCTCACAAACGACAGCTTCGACGTGCTCAGAAATGCTACCCTAGTCTTCTCCGATAACTCTACCAGCCCTCCCGAGGACCACTCGTACAAGGTTAAGCGCGCTTTCAACACCTTTGAGTCCTTGGCCAACCTGGCCATTCGTGGCGTTGAGACTTCAGTGGGCGATGCGTCAGAGAGTGAAGGTGGGCAAAGCCTCAAGAACCAGACTCTCTCAGTTTCTGGAATCTCGGCCTATGTTCAGCAGTATAGTGTGCCCAAGTCCAATACTTTCATGACAGTCCTGCTCGTCGTCGCCATCATCATCGCGACCATCATTGTCAGTATTCTTCTCGTCAAGGCTATCCTCGAGTTCTGGGCTCTATTTGGCAGCTTTCCGCAATCTTTAGCCGGTTTCCGTGAGCATTACTGGGGATCCATTGCTCGAACCATCACCCACCTAATTCTCGTGCTCTACGGCATCTGGGTATTGTACTGTGTGTTCCAGTTCACGGTGGGCGACTCATGGGTCGCACAGCTATTAGCTGGTGTCACGCTCGCAATCTTCACAGCTATTCTCGGCTGGTTCACATGGAAAATCTTCAGCACGGTCAGGAGACTGAAGAATACCGAGGGCAGCGCTGACGCCTTGTACAATGACAAGGAGATTTGGGTCAAGTACTCTCTTTTCTATGAGTCCTATAAGAAAGACTACTGGTGGATCTTCATTCCCACCATTGTCTATCTCTTTGCCAAGGGTTGCACTCTTGCTGTTGGTGATGGTAATGGCATGGCTCAGACTATTGCTCAGCTTGTTGTTGAGTCCATTTTCCTGTGTCTCCTTGTCTGGACTCGACCTTTCGAGCGAAAGTCCAGCAACATCATTGGCATCGCCATCCAGACTGTCCGTGTCCTGTCTGTTGCTCTCATTCTTGTCTTTGTTCATGAGCTCAAGATCCCCCAAGACAGCAAGACAATTGCTGGTGTAGTCCTCATCGCCGTCCAGTCTGCCCTGACTGGTCTCTTGGTTATCCTCATCATTTGGAACGCGATCAACGTTCTCGTCAAGGAGAACCCCCACCGCAAGCGAAGAAAGGAGATGGGTAAGTTGATGTGAAAACCATACACCAGTGAAACATGTACTGACAGATCTTGCAGAGAAAGCCAAGCGTGATATGGACACTCTCACCCCTCTGGATGCCCGCAACTCTCTGCTCCTTGATCGCAAGGACAACAACAACATCTCAATGTTCGCCATGCCCGCTCCTCAAGAAAAGGGCTCGGGCCGATCCATATCCCCTGACCAATACAGGGACGCTGAGTCAGGATATCAACAACCACCACCAAACTACCTGTCTTCGAGCCCCCCTATGCAACGAAACCTAACCACCATGGATCACAACAACGACTCTCAGTACCTGATGGACAACGCCGCACCTGTAGCGTGGACCAACCGAGACCCAAGTCCAGTGGGCATGGGAAGATACGACTCTGGGGATACGGGCTACAGCCCTCTCAACAAGCAACAAACATATGGGTATGGAAATGGAGGCGGATATAGAGGGTTTTGAGGAACAGCTGGCAACGGCTGAATCTCACAGCCCATAATGCAATTTACCAAGCACATTTGGGTATGCTTGTACAAATATCGCCCGCACTCTGGCTCTTATCTATTAGATACGATCTTTGGCTGCTTGTACAAACAAAGATACTCAAAGCCTGGGTATCTCTCATTTACATTTTGGGGACGGAGTACGGAAGTACTCGAGGTTTACAGCGAAAGACTTTGTTTACCACGGAAGCGCATCAAATCATTCATTTTTGTCAATAGAACCTTTTAACTATGCAAACAACACTCTCAATTGTATCCTTCGTAAATTTGATGCAGAATAGCACCGCTTTCCCCCATATTCTCCATTACTCTCCGTGTGTGAGCAGGTAAGAGTTGGATATCGCCTTGAAGCTAAACTGTCCATCCTCGCGCTTAAACACAATTCCCTCCCTCTTTCGCCCATTGATTCCCCTTCCTTCCGCCCGATTAACTAGATCTGTAACCTGGGAACCCATCTCATTTAAGGGTCTATATCCATGTACAGGCACGTGCCTAACGCCCAGTCGTGGTGCCCACGTCTCGTACACGTCTCGTGGTGGTAGGTATCGCTGCTCATCAATGTCATACACTGCAAACAGGAAAAAGCAATGCGTGCCCTTGGGAAATCCTTCAAAATTACTCTGTATGCTTGACCCGCAAAGTTCACCCTGAAGAGCTATGTTACGCCCGATCTTAGGCAACGTCTCGTGGAGATTGAGTGCTCGCGCGGTAGCGTAAAAGAGAGGCGGGCTTCGTGGATGGTTCTCTATCAGAACACGATTCCGCGAGCAAACTGCCACTCCGTCATGTCTCGTCTCGTTCGGGAGTGTGCTAGCAAGGGGGTTGGCATCGTCGAGGTAAAAGACTGTCATGGATGAGCCGTCCATCTTGGTCGACTCTTCGAAAATCTTGGTGCCATGTTCAATGAATATATCTGTGAGGTTCTGCACGCGCTCCTGGTTTGTTCGTGGTATGAAGTCAGGATATTCAGGCAACGGTGTGTCTGATGCTGAAGTCTGTGGAAGTGACATGGCGGGTTTCTCAAACTTTCCCACGTTGAGGATATCCTCAAACCCGATCTCCCGCAGCATATCTGGTGGAATACCATCCAGTTTAGCAACTATTTCCGGAAAATCGGCCAAAGGCAACAAGAGCCCCTGCGACAACACGCCCCGAATCTGAATAGTCTGAACCCGGATATCCGGTGCGGAAGTGGGGCCGTCCGGCCCGATGAACTTCGGCGCCAGAGGAGCAAATCGTGGGTCCGAGGCCGGTAGAAGTGAGTCTATTTCAAAGTATACACCGCGACCCCCCGCTTGAAAGACATTGACGGGAACAACGCATGTCCAACCGTCGACGGTGGCAGCTACAATGCGGTCTGCCCGTGGGATGGCTGTTATGGCCGAAACTTGGCGGACTGTGACGAGCTTTCGAGGCATGATGAAGTGTGTCCTAGATAGTCAATTTCCAAAGAAGAGACTGAGAGGTTTCGAGGAGCATTCTCTTCTTTTAAGCGTAGGAGGCTCAGTGAGTCGGTGATATGACTCAAATCCAAGGATCACATAAGTTTGTACGCGAGAAATATGAAACGGTCTGAGTCAATGTCGTTAGGATTAGAACGTGCTTTTTGCCCTACTGGGATGAAGGATCGTTCAAATCAAAGAGGAGCAGGCATTTGAGCCTATAAGAGAATGAGCCGCGTGCACAAGCAATTATTTCATACAATGTACTCAACAATCTCAAGAATAACTCATTGGCGTGGAATTTTCGAAACGTGAACGAAGTGGAAGCTTGGATTAGGCAGCTTAGCTCTGGTACAGGAACTGTGGACGCCGAGCTTAAGGCACAGAAATTCTGCCAGGAACATTAAGTTTCCCGGATGCTGGGAAATGTGATCGACGAAATCTGAGATAAGCTGTTATTGCGGCTGCAACGTGGCATGCATAATGGTTGGCGCTGATCCTTTTAAGCTCGGCGAGATTGTCTGTGGGCAGCTAACATGCACGTGGTGAAAATCCGGACCGTATTGAAACAAAAAGATGATGGTATTTCTGTTCTATCCTGCTGCCAGTGGAAACCATGGTGGTTGTCATAACCTAAATCGCACCGCGATGCCTCAAGACCAATTAAAAGGAGCGCAGAGGTAAGTTCTTGGCTCCAGCAATTATCTACCCCCCCAGTTGCATTATGTTGAAAGAGCGAGACACGCATCAACAGCCAGGCCGACCCTATAAAATCACGTCAACTTCAGCCCAAAAGACAACGATTTCAGGATCACTTACCTGCCCTCCTTCTCGTAAACCACATCACTTATAACATCCTTGTCCAGGTCAGGAAACATGCCTGCTAATGTTTCGACGACATTTGCATGCTCTGCACGGGAAAGTCGCTGAGCCTCGGCTACTTCAGCGCTCGCCTGCCGTGCGGCAGCCTCTTCAGCAGATAAGGCATGTTTTGGAGGTGGCTGCTGATGTTCGCGAGGCTCCTCACGGCTGAGACGCTCAGGAGGCGCTGGTGTCCGAGGCGCACTACTTGGCCCAGCATCCATGGAAGGACCAGGATCGTCAGAAAACATTCTCCCAATGCTGGAAAGAGGCTTCTGTATAGTCTTGAGAAGACCAGTTATGGCAGCTTTCTCTTCGCCCGTGTACTCGTCATTCGAAGTTGAAGTGCGTGGTCCATCAAGAGAAGGACGAGCAGAAGTTTCTCCAGGAAGTGGCCCAGACTTCTCGTTAAATACTGGCTGTTGGGTGACTGGCGGTGATTGAGCATGCTTTTCAGCAATGGCTGAGACGGCCTGTTCCACATGCTTCTCAAACTCCTCATCAGTAATGGTTAGAGTAGTTCTGTCCATGTTTTCAATGAACTGAACAGCACCCATCTATAATGTGTTAAATTTTGACTACTTCCAAAGCGAACTAACATACCAACGAGGACAAGTAGTAGCCTGCTTCACCCCCGAGCTTTTCCTGGTTTCTGAAGCGCAAGATGTATTGCACATTAGACACAAGGTGCTCGGGATTTGATTGCAGAACAACATAAATAAGCAGGGGCATGAAGGAGTCAGCTGAGGAATCAGACTTGTTATGCTTTAATAAACCTATCAGCCGTCAATATGATTAATACAACTGTAACTTTTCAGCTATCTTACCAAAGATCACCTTGCAACAGTTCAACACACAAATGATCTTGTCTCGCGGTGCCCTGTAGGATTTTATTTTGAGTAACTCTGAATCAGGTTAGTAAATACTGACAGGCTGTAACCTTGAACTGACCTTGCTGAGCAAGTTTCAAAAACCGACGTCCACTGTCACCGACTGGCGGGATGTCCAAATGTTCCTCCCTCACCCAGCCATAAATGCTCATTTTCTGCCTAACAATATCATCTCTCTCAACATCTTCTTGGTGTTGGCCTCGTCTGCCGGGACCAAGAGGAATATCACCGCCCTTGCGCTTCGGCTTAGCCCCAGGAATAGGTTTGGGCGCTTGGATTGCAGGTGAAAATGTCTGAGTATACAGTCTGTTCATGACCAGCTTTTCCATCCCCTCACGAGCGTTATCGAACTCGGCGTCAGATACATCCCTCCAGACCTCGCATTGTGCCATCTTGTTGGCAATAAATGCTAGAAAATCTCCTATAATCTTGACCTGCTCATGAACCATCCATTGTCGTTTGCCAAACTCAGAGAGGAAAGACTTGAGGTACCTTGCCACAGGATCTGCCTTCTTGTTTCGCAATTGCTCGAGGAACCGGTGGAAATCAAAGGGTTGAGTAGGCTCTGGCTCTGGCTCAGGAGGAGGAGGCCGGTGTGACTGCGCTGGTGAGCTAGGAGAAGCAACGCTCATGTTCCGCTCTATTTTAGGACGCGGAGGTGTTCCATGAACACCATCCTTGGGTGGAACAGGCGGCCCCAGATCCTCAACACCAGTGTTGTTTGGAGTTTCAGATGGAGGGGAACTCGTGGAGATGTGTAGGCCCTGCATCTGACCGGAGAGCGTAGGCACAAGAGGTTCCAGACTGGACTTTCGAGGAGGATGTTGAACGGGATGACCTAGCATCGGCGAAGCAATCTCCAGTCTGGGACTCATGACTTCTTCTTCGCCAGGACCACCACCAAACTCGCTGAATTGCTCCATGATGCTTTGAATTTCGGATTGTGAACCGCCTTCGTGCTCATCTTCGCTTACATATCGTCTCTCGTCAAATTCTGCATCTGATTTCGGAGGAGTAGAATCTCCAGAGACATGGGAGCGTGCAGCATTTGAAGGGGTCCGCGAAGGCGGCTGAGAGGTTGTTGGGGTCGCAGGCGTGGGGTCAACATATGTGGACGGTTCGGCGGTGAGGTATTGCGTGGTAGCATCGTTCGACGAGGGTAATGCAATAGGCTTGATTTTGGCCGCTGTTGAGGCGTGAGTGTTCAAGTAACCGCTTGGAGCCTGTTGATCATCGGCAGCTTGCTTGCCCTTAACCGTTTCCGAGGGACCTTGCTCGGCGTCAGCCTCATGTTCGTTTGACGGAACGTCACCTGGCTGATCACCAAAGTCAATCAAATTATCCTCCTTTCCAGTATTGTCCCCTGAGTTCGATCCGTGGCCATGGTTATCTGTGTTTCCAGGCTTCCCTACCACAGGGTCCTGAGCAGGCGTCAACTCAACATTGGGTTTGCTAGACAGCGTCTCGTCTAAGACCGGCTGGCTGGATGAAGATGTAGATTGCTCCGGCGGAGACATGCAAAGCTTCTCAAGATTTGACGGCGAGGTAGCTGTTTTTAGGGATCGGGTTCAAGACGAAAGGTTGACTCGTGCAAGACAAAAGATAGTGCCCATTCGCTGTCCTACGAGGCTGAAGCCTAAAGCTGTATCGTGGGTATTCGGTGAGCGGTGGTCGTCGATGTCGATAAGGTTGATTAAAGTTTAGGGCTTGCTGGAACCGAATCGCTTCGCAGGTGATCAACAACTACCACGGGGTTATTGTTATTTGGAGATGTTGTCGGGTCAGCGTTTTCGAATACTTGGAGTTCAGCAATGGATGCCTGTAGTTAGAGCCCAGGCACAGGACAGTAACAACAACAAGCACATGGCAGGACCCCTCATTCTCCATCCTCCAAGCTAGGCTTCCTTCCAGCAACCAGTGCCTCAGCTTTTGGTCAGGCGCACACTTCTTGGAGCTCCAAGGAGTGGGGCAATTGGTCCTTCTTGCAGGAGCTTGGTTACAGTGTGTTTACAAGGGGGCTTAGCTGTGACGTCGCGATAGTTACAGGGGATATGCTGCAGTGTAAGTTCCAAATCCTTCGGACAAGCTGCGACCCGACGATATTGACCACAACTTCCTAAGCCTGCAGTCTCAACAAGAATGAAAAAAAAGAAAAAAAAAAAGACAAGGATGGAATTAGGGGCAGGAGGGTCAGATGTATTCCAAAGAGTAAAAAGGAGCAAAAGCTAAATTGCTGGAAGGGAGGTTTGAACTCCCGCCTCTTTCGAGAGTGGTGTTAAATAGATTTAACTTAAAACCACCGCCTTAGACCACTCGGCCATTCCAGCTATGAAGAATGAAGTAGCAAAACTAGTTGCTGTAACCAACTATAATGGTTTGTCATTCCGAGTACGCTTGTGTCAACCAGTTGAGAGCTGAGCCACCACCAATCCTTTCACCGAAAGAGTCACCAGAGTAAGGCGTTGGTGTATGCAATATGTGATAGATATAAAGCCAAGGCTTTTTTATGCTTGGGCCGGCCACCGTAGGACGTCTTACCGTCATTAAACAAACATCATCGACCTCAATCGTCCTCTCCATAATGTCAACCGCACTTTCAACCGCTCCCTACCGCCAAATCCGCGCCTGTTACAATGACACCACTATAACAGTGTACCAAGCCTACAAGGAATCCATTGCCAAAGCCGCTGTAGATGCCCAGAAGCTCAATGCGTCCCCGGATTTCAAGCCAGGTCGAATGACGTGGATCAAGCCCAGCTGGGCATGGATGATGTACCGCGCCGGATACTCTTACAAAGACCCTGGCCAATCCCGCATCTTGGCTTTGCGAATGAAACACGAGCACTTCATCAACCTCCTTGAGCGAGGTGTGTTATCAAGTCACGCTCACAAGCTCAACTCTGGCGAGAAGCGTGAGAAGACGGTCGATGTGAGAATTCAGTGGGACCCGGAGCGGACACCGAGGCTGGATGTGTTGCCATATAGGAGTATTCAAATTGGTATACCAGGGGCGTTGAGTGAGCAGTGGGTGAATGAATGGATTGTAGAGATTGAGGATGTCACGGATAAGGCATGTGAGTTGAAGAGGGTGATTGATGAGCGGCCAGGTATCACCGACGGAGAACTGCTGAATATGGGTCTGATATTCGAGGAGAGGCCGCTCGAGGTGCCAGAAGCAGTTCATACTAAGCTGGAAATGACAAACGTTCCTGTACAATAGTAACAAGCGAAAAGTCTCGAACCAAGTCTGTCTATGTCCTCAAAACCAGGTATTGCTTTTCCGGTTACTCTCAATCTCCAGAGTCAAGCTATAGAATAAGCTCGAATACCTGCTTTCGATTCCAATTTTAGCCTTCACTATATCTGGTACTCTCCATTCCAGCCTTCGCTGTGCCTTATCCAAAACTCTTGAAAAGTCCTGCTTTGCAATCCAAGTCTGTTCTTCAAACGCGTACCATGGTAAGAAGTAAAGAGGCATCGTTTGAAAAGGGTTTGGGGGCAAAGGCTCTAGTCCTATAACCAGGCACTGCTTGGAATCTGAGCTGCCTAGATCAAGCTCCAATGCTCCCAGAACTAGTGGTTCTTGTAATGATCCAAGTGAAGGGCCAGGTGCTAGGTCAAAGTTAATCTCATATGATTCTGGCGTGGTGGAGGGACCTCTTCGAGCATCGACAAAATATTGCCATGTTGGTGATCGTGAGCGCACTCTGACAACCATCCTACTCTCCTTTACAAGGCCTTTTATCTCCGGACGAAATATCACACCCTTCAGATATCTTAGGTCCGGGGTATTATGTGGTACGAAGATCTGTCGCGGAACGGCCTCCTGCAAAACATCATTTTGACCACTTCGTATCATATTCAAGAGTTCGTCAGGAAGAATGATGCTGTTCATCATGGACAACGCTAATATGTCTGGTCGAATTCGTACAAAATGTGAGTCTCTGTCCCACGCTGCCCTTTGAAGGAGGATAGCCGGGTTGATAGATGTTTGACCCCTTCGAAACTCGCAGTTCAAGAAGGCTAGGAAAATGGTCCCTGATGTATCGATTGGGAAAGGCGTTAATGGAAGCTCTAAATCCAGCCCACGGTTCGTCATAGACAACGAGCTTCCTGATCTAAGAGATAGGTATTTGGATCTCTTAGGCACTAGACCATTAAGATCTTTCGAGGTCTGGCCGAGATCAAAAGCTGAAGGGCTGTTTGCAAGAAGGCTCCAATATGTTTTCCCTTCGACCCGATACCGAGGCTGCCGCCAAGCGTAGATTGACTCGTCATCAGTAGATTTCATAATCTCCTCTTGTAAGCGCTTGAAAGCTTTGACTTGACCTTCGCCATAGAGCAAAGGCATATTTATATCGAATATACCCAGCAAGCAATAGGCGATGTCTTCAGGCCTTGTCGTTTCGCGTCCAGCAGCCCAAAACATCTTCTGGGCGACTGAAAATTCACCGAGCTGACTTTTCCTGATCTCCGCCATGTGGTGTGTTGCGTCGAGAAGCTCATAATTGATCCCAGTGACACGCTTTATATCTTCTTTGAGTTCAGCTCTACTACCCAGTCGCTGCCAGTTTCGTCCGTAGAAAATGACCTTGCCCGGTGCGATGAGCTCTTGGAGTGTCCAACCTCTGGTAAACCAACGGCTGGTCTCGAAAGCGTTTCCCTGTTCCTCTTCAGACTCTGAGGAGGAAACGTCTTCGAGAAAGGCGATGCAGATGGTCGATTCAGCATACCAACGAAACATCGAGTTGATAGCTTCCGACAGCTCGGCACTGCTGCTTTTATCAATACAGCAAGTATCTATCCATAGATAGTCCAACTTCAAAGAGCGTGCCATTTTACAGCTCTCACGCAGCTTGCTATAGCGTTCAAGATGAAGCGCTTCCTTGGGATCACTTGAAGCAACATCTTGGAAAGTGACCTCATCGTCACCCCAGACATGGGATAGGATGGCATATCGACGCGATCCGCCAGTGTAAAACTCAAGTTGAAGAGTATGTGTGTTTATGAGTCTCATGTCGAGTTGGATCTTGGAAATGAGCTGGTGACTAACTATAATGACTTACTCATCTCATATTAGCTGTTGAGTTTGAAGGCTTCCAGGTTATCGAGAGTGGCGAGGGAACAAGTAAAAATAAGTCAGAACAATAAGCACTCTAGAATAAGATATAGCAGTGTAAAATGAGTATGACGAAGGTGAAATTTGGGAATCCTTTATTGCTAGAGGGGCCATGCATAGGTGGAAACGGGCTTGATGAGACGAAGTCATTCTAAAGAATTTATATACAGTGTAAATTGATGACAGCTCCGCACTGTCCTTTTAAAGACCTTTCAGAGCAATGGAAGTAAAGTGCAATAGAAATTTTGTTCTTTGATTAATGTTTTATTAATATAGTGGCTTTCTCATTCTATTTTCTCCTAGCGATTCCTAACCGTTGACAATTGTACCGCCGTTGCAGTGAATGGTCTGTCCACTAACACACGAGCTGTCACTCGAGGCCAGGAAGACCACGCACGTAGCAATCTCTGAAGGCTGAGCGGGTCGTCCCATGGGGCTTGTGAACTGCTTCTGTGCTTCATCGTCCATTGTGGCGGGAATGAGAGGTGTCCAAACTATGCATTGTTAGTCGTATCATGCATTGGTGAGATCAGCTTAACATACCAGGTCCAGGAGCGACAGCATTAACACGAATACCTTTGCTGACATATTGATTACTGAGACCCCGTGTGAAGGAAACGATGGCTCCCTTTGTGGATGTGTAATCGAGGAGATCGGGGCGGCCGATGTAGGCGTTGATGGAAGCATTGTTGATAATAGTGGCCCCGGTCTTCATGTGAGGGAGGGCGTATTTAGAGATATAGAAAAAGGAGTGGATATTGATGTTAAAGGTGTGAATCCATTGCTCCTCGGGAAGGTCTTTGATATCTTGAACCACCATTTGGTCTAGATCAATTGTCAGATACAGTCGATATGCTCAATACTGCCAGATCAACTTACAAGCTGCATTGTTGAATAGAATGTCAATTCCATTCATCTTCTCCACGGCAAAGTCGACGAGTTTCTTGCAGTTCTCCTGCTTCGAAAGGTCAAGAGAGATAAGATGGACCTTGGCACCCTCATTCTCAACCTGCTTTTTGGTGTCCTGAGCATCCTGCTCCTCTTCTGGTAGATAGGCAATGACAATATCCGAAACGCCTTCTCGGCCGAAGAGAAGAGCAGAAGCAGCACCAATGCCACTGTCACCTCCAGTGATCAATGCCTTCTTGCCCTTAAGCTTTCCAGAGCCTTGGTATGTCCTCGAATTACCGCCGGCCTCGGGGAGCTCGTCACGAGTGGCCTTGGGGTTAGGCATCTCCCTCTCGGTACCAGGGAAGTCCTGGTGGGAGACAGGGATATCCTTCTCTAATGCTTGGTCAGTTGTTGTCTCGTTGAGTTGCAGAGTCTCGAGGGAGAAACTACCATTCTTGAAGTTCTGAGTCGTCATGTTGGTGGCTGGGATTATAGTCAATTGTGCGATTAACTTCTCAGGCTGGAGGAAAATAAAAATCCTTTCAGAAAGTATTCAGAAGAGCCTTCTCTTTTTAACACTCGTCATGTAAGAACACACGGAGCATTTAATCCGAATCCTGATGAAGATCGATCGATGACGACACTACAGTCAGGGTTGAACATTTCTTCGTCACATTAACGGGGCCAGCCAAGCAAGAATGAATATCCATGCTGGCAGCTCTTTCTCTAATCTGGTGTCCGGCTATTCATGATGTGGGAGCTCCTCTATCAGTTCACAGAAAGCACGAGGTATCGGCCAATCGTCAAGATCGCACGCCGGTTTATGACGGCAGAACCTAGCAAAAAGTTTATGATCCTTTCGCTATCTTCACGCGAACATGACGATCCTGTTGTTAAAAAGAGGGGCGCATATGTACGGTACGTTGTTAATAAGCTCGATGCTGATTAGGTTGCTGTGACGTACAAAGTTGCTAACAATGGAACCATCAAACGGCCACCGAACGGCTTGCATCCGTTCGGCACCACCCGGAGCGGCCCCACTGTCCCGGTCCGTCGCCTAATCGTGACGTCCGGCCGACACTCCTGACCAGGGAAACCCGATTGTTATACAGAATACGGATACCTCGCGGGGCATCAATTTCCCCCTCCCATCTGCGCACTCATGGTAGGACAATTTTGGTTGAGATATTGAAGAGGTGGTCCTACGAAAATAGCTTCAGGAGCTAAACCAAGCTTGAACATACGTATTGCTGGCCTGGTTCGTCCGGCATAGCAATATCATTTGAGCCGCTTAAGACAATATGTTGCATTACAAGATGCATTGTAGGAAGCAAACTGAACAAACCGCCTAAACCATAGAATAATCCGTACATCGCGTGCCCTTGGACAGTATACGCGTCTTGATCATCGTCTTATGCTGATCTTCTCTCCTGCACTGGCAACCGTAATGCTCGCCTTTCAAACTCTCCTGCACTGGTAACCGTAATGCTCATCTTTCAAATAAAATGCAATTCCCAACTCAAATCAATAAATGTCCAGAACGCCAGGTTCCGTGTCGTGCTCTACTCGCCGATTGATAGTATTGTTACAGAGCGATCGCGCCTCGGCGGCTTTCTCGGGTATGGAGGAATCCTTGGAAGCCACAAAAGACGAAGAAAGCCTATGTTTGTCAGTAAGATGCAAGATTGGGTTCGGATTGCGGATGTCCGATCCGTTTGGTCGCGAGGACGTACAACGTAGACGAGGACGGCGATGAAGATGGTGTCTGAAACTGCCTTGCCATCTTCGGGATCATCTACGCCACCAGTGAATTCTTCATGGTTGCTCCGGTAGAGACCTGCGAGAGCGCTGAGGATAATAATGGCGAAAACGGAGAGAACGGTGCTGGAAGTTTCATGTTAGCTTCATCATGATAGAACCAAGGCAGTTGAAGGAATTGGCGAACCAGGACCATGCGTTGAAGGCGCTGACGACGGGCTTCATGATGGGCGTATATGGAAAGAGCTCAATTATGAATGGCCAATCGATGTATCGCTGAGAGTGTTATGGTGATGGACTGTTGTTTGCGACGTTGATAGCTATAGCTCCGTCGGTGCTGGTGGTAATGCGTCAATGTGTCGCCGTTTAGCTCCTTTCCTGCCTCAGCAACAAGGCTGGAGAATGAGCCACATGCACCGCCACATCTTGGATGCGCCACTATATCACCATAAACCCATACTGGTCAACTGGATTTTGACCAGGCACGGACGACTACGCTTTGAAATTTCCGGTGTGATTATCAGGGTAAGATGCATATTTCCGTGTTTATTCTATGTTATTTTTTCCTAATTTGTTCTGATGCTGGCCGCAGTTGAGCAAACAGTGCTAACCATAATCCCCACAAATCAATGTTTAGATGCTGGCTTACACGGATGGTCTAGGATGTGAACCTAGTGAAATCCGAAAGAATAGTTGATCTTCCCCAACACGGAATTCGGGATCAGAGCAGCGTAACGTTGAAATCAAGATATTATCTTGGCTGACAAGAGGCAACCATAATCATGGCGTGCAGTTTGAATATTCTGAAACCCGACACACAACTGAATACCAATAAGGTGTGTGAGTTAGCCATGTGGCCACTAAAACTGCGTAACTGTTTCTTTGTTGTTCTTGATCACGGAGGTTAACTGAACTTTCTCGTCGCATTATACCAGGATACTGAATGGTGAATACATTGGAGCTTATTAAAACTGCTAAGCTTCTGACTGGAATGGCAGAAATGTATTGGTGTCTTAAGCGACCTTGGCATTCGAGCTCTGTGCTTCACGTTCCAATAGCTCCAGGAACACCTCTGCCCAGAGCTCAACACGAAACGAAACGAAACGAAACGAAATATGCAAGCGCCATGTTTATGATCGCCAAAGTGATAGTCAAGATATGGTTACCACGGAGGGTTCCATTCCGTCAGATGACGGCCTTATCAGAGACTTTAGATTATTGGCCCTAATGAAGTAATACCAAGGCTCGGAAGTTGAGAGCATCTCATTAAAAGGAAATTTGTGATGCCATCATTCGCACACGGTTTGGCTTGTTGTGCAACAGCGGCACAAACAGCAAGATCTCAAGCCAAGACTTAGTAAATGGATGTTGCTTAGACGCCGTGTGAGGTTACGCAACCCTCCCTTGTTGCTTGTTGGCTGTCTGTCGCCTGTCAGTGATGCACCACCCCCAGCACGGTCCTAGCAAACATGGGGTTCCGTGTGCCGAAGAGCCTTCAAAGGGCTTAAGTTGTCCATTGATGCCCCATGCTGTGCTTGGCCGTCATAGCCGTTGAATCAAAAGGTGAACAAACGCATGGCGCCGTGTCCTTTGAAACAAGCAAAGCCTAAGCCACGTCGCTCGTGAATACGGGTTGTCCCCTGTAAGCACCAATCGTTGGACAGATATCTCGGCAGAGGGAGACTATTGCTTGCTGCAGGACCTAGAATGGATCGTCTTCCCCCCGCGCTATTTGCTAGGCAATTCATTCGCTGGGAGGTGAAGAGCCTCTTTTTGATGCACAAATTCATACTGGGCTTTGCCCAACACGGATTGGGGACTTTAGCATTTCCTCGTTTATGCGGCTTGGACTGACAACTGCTTACATTTTGACCAATCCATGTTGATTTATCCTCTAGGATTATCACCTAGTGATGACGCTCTTGGCAAGCTTCAGCGCCCACGCTATATATAGCTCCGGCTGCCACTGCCACTGTCATTGTCACTGCCGTTCATCATCTCATCTCAACCTAAGATCCTTTGATTCACTTTTGAGCCAATCTCAGCACCTGAATAAACCTGTCGGGCCCTAGTGGTCATTTCGCTCGCTCGTATTCATTTAATATCGAGATCCTACTTCGCCTCGACGGTCTTTAAGTTGCACCTGCTTGCCTTACACACAGCCTACATATATTGCACAGCTTTACCATCTCACTCAAAATGCGCACTCAAGCTATCGTGACCGTCCTGTTCTCGGCTCTTGCAGGACAGGTTATTGCCCAGGATGACTCTCACGATGCGCCCCGAGTCAACGACAACCCTCCTGGTGTCAAATACAAGGCTACCCTTCCTAAGGAGCCTTTCTTCAAAGATGCCGCAATCGACGGCAATGTCAAGGGGTTCATCCAGGCTGAAGCTCCAAGCGATGGACACGGCGTTCAGTTCAAGGTCCAGTTCAGCAACCTTCCCAAGGAGGGAGGTCCCTTCAGTAATTGCTCAAGTATCACTCAACCAGACTATATCTGACTTTGCTATAGCATACCACATCCACGTTGAACCTGTCCCTGAGAACGGCAACTGTACCGCGACTCTCGCCCATCTCGACCCTTTTGCTCGTGGCGAGGAGCCTCCCTGTGACCCTGAGAAACCTGCATCTTGCCAGGTCGGAGACAACAGTGGAAAGCATGGAAAGATCACCAGCGACCCCTTCACGGCCGACTACATCGACTACTACGCCTCGACCAAGGAAGGGATCGGCGCCTACTTTGGCAACCGGTCCTTTGTTCTTCATTACGCCAACAAGACCCGTCTGACATGCGCCAACTTTGTTAACTTGAACCCGGGCGTTATCGGGTCGAATTTCACTGCCCCAGCTTACCTCCCTACTCCGACTGAGACTGTCAACCCTGAGACGAACACTCCTACTCCATCCGGCACAGGCACTGGTGGCAAGCCTATTTCTACTGAGACTAGCGTTGTTAGTCCCAACGGTGCCTCGTCTGCCACGCTCCCGATCAACCTTGCTTTGGCCGGTGTCTTTGTTCTCGTTCTTGCGATGTGATGGGAGTGAATGATGAAACTGGGTTTGATGCTGCGAGGGGCGATTTCAGTTCGTTGATTGTACATTAAAAATTCATGTATGGAGGCAGATTGCTGTTCCCACTAACAAAGCTTGCTTGATACAAGCTGCAGGGTGTTCTAGTCTGTTGACAAGCAGACATAATGAAGAAAAAAAACCTATTTGAAACCTTGACTTTACGGCTGTGGCGCATGTTGAAGTGAAAATGAATGCAAATCGGCGGTTAGAGGTCACAGGTTGGCGGCCAGTATTGTACGGCGCAGACGGGTTGTGCTGGCCATCACTGGCCTATTGAAATACAAATCTTATGTCAGTTGATGAATATCAGGGTACGTATAAGAATGCTGATCTATCACTTAAATGGAAATCTCGGAAGCTTTTATTTTATCACCTTAAGTAGTTTATAGGAACCTTTGTAAAAACTCCTTGATTAGATTCAAGCTGCTTAACTGCTATCAGATTCCATGTGAGAAGCTCACAAAATCGCGAGGAACTATAGTTGTATCTGTCAACCAAAGTTAATTTATACGCTCAGGGCTTTCAGAAATCGAAGACAAAACACTTTTCAAAGGAAGGAGATGGTCAGTGAAGCATTAAGATTCATTTTAAGCGCTGTTTCTTGTTTCTTCATGAAGCAGCGGTATCAGTCGATTGCTGTAGAAGATTCCGGATTCTATTACACCCCTGCTCGCATGAAGGCCGGGATTGCGTGCAATGTTTGGAAAGGATGCCGAGCAACCATCGATCTACTGCATCTATTTTAGTGCACTTCTGCCCCCAAATCATTGTTGTCGAGGCCCGGCCCTAGCGCACGTAAGAATCACTAGAGCTGACCAGCCAAGCCTAAGGATTTTAGCTGCATCCATCTCTTCTTTCAGCTGGAACTCAGGCTGCTCAGCTCAACAACATGAAAAGCATCGGTCAACGTTCAACGTTCAAGGTTCTAAGCCTTTGAGCAATCAAGCAGCTCTTGGCCAAAGTCTCTTCAAATCCTTGTTACCGCAATAAGCATTGCTTCCTTGATTTGGCCTTGAGTAGCTGACTAGCGTTCACTTCGGGAATGTTCTATCACATGGAAAGAGGAAAAGAGATAAAAAAGAGAAACGACCCTAGCTTGGACGTGCAGATGCAGGTGCAGGCCAAGCCGAGGAACCGGGCTGATCAGATCAGAGTTGTGTCATATATCGATTCTGGTTGGTGAGCGGTTGCGAACAAGGTGGTGATTTATCCCCGGATATCCCTTGACCATAGTTCCTTGCTTGCAAAGTCAATTAAAGTACATGTTGCCCGATCTCGATGGTTCTTATCGTTGAAGATTCGTTTTTCTTCCGAGACTGTCTCAGCGTCCATTAATACTCAGGGAAGTCTCTATCTCCCTTCCCAAACACAGCTGCTTGTCAATCAACTGCCTCCATGTCCCCCTCAGTCATGGTACGTCAGCTTTGTAATCCAGAGCCACCAATCTGTCTATCTTGAAATGAGACTGATTACATGCTCAGGCAGACACAACTACAGCGCTCGAACAGCGTTCAGAGCGAGATATACGTTCTCCAGACATGGAATACAACTCATCGGTTGAAGATTTTCGAGAATACGAGTATCCCAACATGGCACAAGGTGTGCCAGTCTTACTCCTTCGTTCTTCATCCTCAGATCCGCTGACGCTTGCTTACAGGGGCTTATCTTGATCATGGAGGAGCTACCATATATGCGCGATCACTTATAACCGGCTTCTCCCAAGCAATGATTGGTAACCTTTGGGGTAATCCACACTCAGAGAATCTCCCGGCAAAGTTGTCGGGTGATATGGTTGATAATATCCGTGCAAAAGCCCTTAATTTTCTTGGTGCTGATCCAAAGTATTTCGACCTCGTCTTCGTCGCCAATGCTACGGCTGCTATCAAGCTCGTTGCTGACGCGTTCCGGGACATTGGAGAGAAGACCCCTACCAAGGGTTTCTGGTATGGATGTCATAAAGAAGCCCACACCAGCATTATTGGGGTTCGTGCACTCACGTCAGGGGACTATCATTGCTTTGAAGATGATGAGAGTGTTGAAGAATGGATCTCACGGCCTTTCAGCTGCCAGTCCCGAAAAGGAAAATCGACCAGTCTGGGCTTGTTCGCATATCCAGGCCAGTCGAATCTTAGTGGACGCCGGTTACCACAGGGCTGGTCGAGAAGAATACGGCAACACCCTCAGCTTCGAAATGTCTATACCCTTTTCGATGCTGCGGCTCTCGCCATGACTAGCTCCCTCAGCTCCCTGTTCCACGATCCAATGAATGCACCCGACTTTACTTGCCTTTCGTTTTACAAGATATTTGGCTTCCCTGATTTGGGAGCATTGGTTGTTCGGCGGGCGTCTGGACATATACTGAACTTGAGGAGATACTTTGGTGGAGGAACAATTGCTCAGTTATCCCCCTCAAAAGACACCCGGGTTATGAAGAAAGTCCCCGGGTTGGGGGATCTGCACAAGATATGGGATATCCATGAAGGTGTCGAGGATGGCACACTGCCATTTCACAGTATCTTGGCGCTTGGGGTGGCCATCGATACACACCTTAGGCTTTATGGCTCAATGGTGAGTTGTCATGACACTTTAAAATTAAGATTAACTGACCGTTGATCGCAGGATGTGATATCTCGTCATTGCTGTTACCTCGCTCGCTACTTATATGAACGTCTTGTGGATCTGAAGCACCGAAACGGGTCTCCATTGATCGAGCTATATGTCGATAGTCCATTCATGTATGGCGATCCTTCACTCCAGGGACCAACTTTTGCCTTCAACATTATGAGAGAGGATGGTTCATATATCCCCTGGACGGAGGTAGAGAGGCTTGCCAATAGCGCCGGAGTATACATACGAGCAGGAGGTAAGGACATCATCTGGATACATGTTAACTCTGCTGACGACTGCGCTTCAGGCGTTTGCTGTCCTGGTGGTGTCGCTAAAGCCTTGGATTATGAGGACTGGGAATGGGACAGAATCTTCTCAAGCGGACACGCCTGTGGTTCGAGTGAGATGGCAGTCATACATAATAAGCCAACAGGGTATGTTTCATCACAATCAACAAATTCATCAACTGACGGAGTAGTATCGTTCGCGCAAGTCTCGGTCCCATGACGACGAAGCGAGATATACAGGCCTTGATATCATTTCTTTGCAACGAGTTCATCACAAAAAGCGCACCAATACCACGATTGCTTGGGACAGCAAAGGATTTACCGCTACGGGAGAAGTTCCCCTATCTAACATCCGAAAAGGAGTTCAATGAGCGCGACCTTGTTTATGAGCAATGACACATATTTTAGAGGAGCTTGATGTTTATTTGAATTTATATGAGGAGGGGACCGAAGAGCTCGGTGTGCATCATGGGCGCTTTGTATGAAACTGGGGTGATATTTGTATCTTTGTGTATCCGTGGATCGCAACATAAGCCGTTGGGGATAGGTCTCATGTATGGGAATATCCGCAGTCATTTACACATTAATTTCACATCCTAATCTACTTAAGTTAATGCTTTTTTATTTCCCTTAGAGGGAGAAAGAGAAAAAAAAAAAGGTATCTCGGGTCACGCCAAGTCAATTATCCAACAGTAGAAGAATTGCAGAGGTTCCATTTATTATAGGTGCTTCAGACTTTGTCTTCATCTTCTCGCCAGGGACAGTGTATTCGCGGAACTAAGAGCTTTTATATGAAAAGATGATCAGAGAAGACCTAAAAGATATCTCAGCATGACCTTCCGTGACAGAGAGAGCCCAAGGATGACATTTAAAGATTGGCAAACTTATAAATGATCTTAGATCAATAGGTATTTCCAATTTGTTCCATTATGAACACCTTAGGAAAGGTAGCTTTCATTCCTGGTTGCGGCTGGTTACCCTTCGCTTATTGTTGAAAGGCGCCTTCCTCAGCAACTTCGCAGCTCTATGCCTTCACGTGATTTACATCATATCTAAACCACCTTACTTTACTACAGAGAAAAGACGACGATTGCCTGCGTTCGAGCACATCATCAGTCCGACGATTTTATTGTTTTTGGGCCACAAAATCCTTAAGAGCTTTCTCCCTCCCAGCCAACATCAATATAGTCGGAATTTCTTAGCTTTTCATCTCGTCCCTCATGCAATCGTCGCAACTAGATTCTTTACACTTACCCCACGTCTTCGATACCAGAATACACCCTTGATCGATCTACGCATTGCGGTCTGCGATCAAGCCGGTTCGGAGATCTCGAGGTTGTATACCAGCGCACAAAGCATCTGTTCGCACTTTTCGCCCACGCCGCTATTTCAGTAATAAAAATGGCAAAGAAAAAAAGCAATCAGACTTCTAGTGGTGAGGGGCAGAATGCGACCCTTGACAACGCTTCGCAAACGCATCCACAAACCTCAAATGCTACGGATACAAATGGAGGGAGTCAAAAGAAGAAACCCAAGACGTCTAAGGAAGGATCTTCTTCTTCGTCTTCGTCTTTCCAGACACTTAGCATTTGTCGGAACAAGTATGTTTGGTTATGCGCCGCTGATTTTCTTGCCAAGTTGCCATTTGCGATCCATTAGATTACGGCGTTAACGCTTTACCTTAGGCATTGGCGATATATATCTTCTTTCCACGGTCCTTGGCTCCAAATGCCTATCGAGATTCTCGAAACAATTGCCAACGTCAACTACAATACCCCTCGGCCGTGCCCTATTGACCCTGCCGTCCTCTATGACCTACTGAAGATTCGCCGTCTCGTTGACGAAGCCACCAATCTCGCCGTGAGAGCTGCTAGTGATATTGCCTCACCTGTGTTGACCAACGTGCATGGTGGGCTACCCGGCGCATCTTCGATGTCTGTATTGGGAATGACAGGACCAGGACATGGGACAAGATTGAGCCGCGAGCGCAAGTTTCGAATGAGGGAGCAGGCAAGCCAGAAGCTTAGCCGCGCATACCATCTAGACGAAATTGCTTGCAGCGTTGCAACAATGCAGGGTGCGTCTCCAATAGATGAGATTGGGGCGTTGGTGCTGTTGCGTAACCCACAGGATCCAGATGCCAAATATGTACATTTCTTTCATGAGAAAATACCCTCCCGCCAGTTGGCAGAGTCTACTAGTCTGCAACCCTTGACAGACATCATATCCGAGAAGCCCAACGAGGGCGAAGCTCTCCGAACGCGTGCAATCGTCAAAACTTTTAAGGAGGATTTCGAAGGTGCGGCTCATGACTTGACCGTCGCTCTCACAGTGTGTCGAATACATCAACAGCCCCATCGACCCAGTGGGGACGAACTCGAGTCGCAGCATTCACATCGAGGCAGAAGATGGCGTCAGGAAATTATCCCATCTGAGAAAGATCAACCGAGTAGTTTAGAATGTCAGTTGTTATTCCTTCGTGGCGCGGCGTATCTATCGCTGGCATGTCAGTATATCGAAGATGGCATCCCAACAACTCAGAGCCAGAATGGGCATGCCGAAACGCACAGCCCAGACGAGGCCTTTGATCCAGAAGTCAGTGGCTGCAAGCCGCCAGAGATTGAAGAAAAGTCTCTTCATAAACAGACCGAAGCGCGAAAGCTTGTCAAGAAATATGCAAAGTGGGCGCTTCGAGACCTCCTCACCTTTATGTCACATTTCGAGTACGCGCCCAATCTACCATCCTCCATCGCAAAGGACTTTAATGACCGGGTTAATAACTCCGCAAAAGGCGCTCGCCATCCTCGGCCTTCTGAGGCTACATACTCTCTCGAGCCACATACCACTTACACCATCTCCGAACTCTTCGCCGCCGTCCCTCCTTCAGACCTCCCTCCCTATCCTAATCAAGAGGTAACAAACTCCAATGGCAAAACTCAGCCATCCATTATGCCGCAGACATGCGAATGGTCGACGTACCACCCCCTTATGGCCGACGCCCTCCACTCCCTCCTCCTTTGTCACTGTCTCGCCCAAACCTCGGCCAAGGAGCTTCAACGCCACACCTACATGGCGGCAAGACTGATCCGTCTCGCCGATGGCTATCCGGTCTTCCAACCTAGTCGCTCCCCTGCTCGGTCTGACTGGGTTGAAATTCTCCGCCGCGCCGACGACAACTGGCTACAGCTCAGCGCCTCGTGGGAGACCTTATGCATACCTGCGCCCCTCCCGTTCTTATACGATACCCTCCCCCAGGATATCTCGAAGATGCACATCGGCGCTTCTCGTAAGGAAGCTGCCGCCGCCGCCGCATCTCTAATCAATGGTGGATCTGATAACACTAGACCAGCCGTACTGAGTCCGGCAGACAAGCGTCGACAGCGCAAGCGGGAACATGACCAGCGAGTCTGCGAAGCCCTTAACGATGAACGAGTCTGTGATGAGGTCACCTTCCGCGCATCCATTGAGGCCAGAGAGAAGCGCGATGAGAAACAACGTGCTGCAACTGCCGCTGCTGCCAATGGTTCATCATCCAATGCCACATCTACTAACAATTCAGGTCTCAAGGGATGGTCTGACGACGATAGCAAGGACTATCCCGTTTGCACTGTGAGGGCTAGTCTTATCGCACAGTGGGTGCAGGAAGCACCCATCGTCACAGGTACCACGCGACGCAAGAAGCGTACTAAGAAGGCTGTCAGTAGGACAGACTCACTGGCTGGCCTTCCAGAGAGGCGGAGCCTTGAAGACGGAGAACAAACTATGCCGCCATAACGACTCTTTGCTAACCCCGTATTTATTTGGTTGCCCTTTTGGCCACTCAGTTGGTGTGTCGCCTCCCCCCATGCTGGAACCTTAAATGATGAAGAGTAAGCTTGATATCCGAATGATGACATTTCGTGGACTTCACTGCGTGATCTCGGGACGGAACTTGTCATGACAAAAGAGTCTCATATAGTATAGAACAAGACTTGGAACAAGAGCAGGTCTATAATTCAGCGTCCTTCCGCAGACAATGTCTAATGCTTTATAACCAAGAAACGCCGCCCATGCTTACATATCCTGTGAAACCAATCCGTTACCTGAATTCATTTCATCCTATCTTGTGTTTAGCAATAATCTTAATACCACCTGTTGTTAGACATATTTCCCCCGTTGAGGAATGCGTCAATGTCTCCCATACCCTCAGTCTCGAGCACATTCATCAACTCAAGCTGCTGAGACTGTGTAAGGCTACCTTGCCGAGCAAAACCATAGTCAAACTGAGGAGGGGCATTCCCTCCTTGAATATTCTGTAGCCCAAGACCAGAGCCTGGCATATCGCCATAGTTCCCGGGATTAGCCATAGAATCGTTGAAAAAGCTGTTGCTCATGTTGTTAAAGGCGTACGGGGAAATAAATGGTGCAGGAGGCGAGAACCAATCGCCAATGCCGCTTGGAGTTGGCAGAGGCCTTTGGGTAGGTGCAGCCTGTGGATTTTGGGGTACAACAAACGTGGGCCCACGGTGAGATGGTTCAATCTTAATAGGGGGGGACATATTTGTCTGCACGGGCACCAGGGGAACTCCAGCTGGCGAGGCATGCTGCATGATTGGTGTAGGATGGGCTGTCATGGTGTTTGAGGGCGATAAAGTATTACTAGGTGTTGGTGTTGCCATGTTGCCGGTCGGGATGCTGTCAGGAGGAGTTGGCAATTGCTCGGACATGTGATCCGGAGGCGATGTCATATGTTGCTCAGGGGTTGTGGTAGCTGGCGGTGTTGGGTCATCTATCATGGTCTCGCTGGGTTGCATAAAGTCGGGTGGGAAGTACGAGAATCTTCGCCCCGTAGGTTCATTGCTCGCAGGGTTGAAGAAGATGGAGTTAGACCTGAAGCTCGGCTGAGGTGGAGGAAAGTTGGGATCGAAGGCGTAAGCATTCATGGCCTCTGGTGGTGAGTTGAAGACGTGGTTGAACTGGGGTGGGTTCTGATAAGGGGCTTGAGCTTGTTGAAGGTTCTGGAAGGCTTCGGGCGAGTTAGGGTCCGCGAAGGAAGGGGGCGTGGTGAAGAAGCCGGCTGTCTGTCCCGTCATAGGGCGTTCATCATAGCCCTGTAAACAAGCTTTCGAGAAGATGGAGTAAAGTTGCGAGGCGGATGCAGTTCCGGGCCATCTTTCTGTACAACGATCCAAAACCTCCATGGAAGTCTGAACGAGGTTTTCAACTTCGTGGCGGGGATGCGCTTGACGCACCTCTGGATACGAAACAGTCCATAAGAGTGTGTTAAGCGACATGTTCACGGTCAGAAGGAAAACCCATGTGAGATCTGCGCCACTTCCCATCTGCTTAGCATTGAGCTGGATGATATACGCTGCGCTCTCGTAACAAATCGCAGCGGCGCGAGGTGATGGCTTTGGAATCTGCGGAGAAGGTCTATACATGAATATCCTCATCTGATGATATCTGCCGGTGAACCTATCGAATCGCATTAGATATAGACAGCAAATTTTACGGAGGGGGCATACCAAGGCTTGCACCAATCAGGGCTTGTAGGTGATGCATCTAGCCATTCTTTGTTCATCTTCTCAATTCTTGCAAACCAAGGGTGTGAGTCGTTCTTTGGTTCTTCCTTCTTCTTCTCATACAAAGCTCTTCGGATCTCGGCTTGGCACATTCTCATCCTGTAGAAATGAATAGCAACAAGTTTCCGTTCACTGGGAGGGCCAGGCTGGATGCCCTGGTCAGTGATATTGTCGTCGTCAACTGCTGCGAAGAATTCGACGTCCAGTCGGTCGTCGCCTGTTGCAAAATTGTTGGGCCTGCCCATACTGTGCGCCAAGCCATATTCCATCGCGGCCACAGTCCAGATAATTCGCCTCCTCATATCGATTGTTTTAGCATCCAAGTTATACCCTGTAGAAATAGTCTTCTCGCTGGCTAGTCCTTCCTGCTGGCATATTCTAGCTGCCAGACCGATCACATAGTAGATCGGTGTCCTTGTAGGGGTGAGAAGCGAATATTCTCCAAGAAGAACGAGACATTGCAATGTCTTGAGATCCTTGGGGCGGACGACATCTTCGAATAATTGCATTGCTGCCAAGTAGTAGCTGTCCGCCAAACCAGCATATTGCGTGTCAAGCTTTTGTAAGCTGATGGCTACAAGCATTCTGACAATGAAAAGTCGATATGGATCAGAATCGCCATTGTAGACCGCATCTAAATCCTGCAGAAGATCCTTTTCGTGCAGAACCGGCCAGAAGAGTTGAGCTTCTATAAGTTAGCATTCCCAATGGAGTAGTACAAAATAGAATTGAGGTTCACCTTTCTGGTTAAAGATCTCCAGTAACTTATCTGCAACAGCTCTGGTGGGCAAACTTTCGGCTGGATGTTGGCTAATCATAGGATAACTCTTTCTCCTTGCCGAAGGCCCCGTCATTTGTATAGACTGCATACGAGCTTGTCTGGCGCGGACACTGGGGATGAGATCGGAGATGCGTTTGGAATCCGTGTATCGTTTCGCTTGCTCCATAAGAAGACGTGTCATTGCGATACCGCTACTGGGTCCTAGGTATCGAGGGGTCTCATCGCCACCATTCAGACGTACCATTCCGCCCGGCCGTACCATGTCTTCGTTACTCTTAGGATACTCATTTTCGTCGTCGGTATATTGGCTGAGCTCCGCCTCAAGTTGCCTGACTTTGTCCTGTAGCCTAATAACATAATGCCTGTTGATCTTGCGACCTTTGGCTGCATCAAGGTATTCGCAGGTCGATCCGGATCTCTCACATGGCAAGCAGCGGGGTAAAGTTGGATCGCAGCGGGTTTTCCTCTATGCAGGAGTATATTAGCATGTGGCTCAGATATCGAGTTGCAACAAGAGGGTCGGGTCGGTACCTGTCGACAACGGCAACAAGCTGTCAGAGTGTGGGCAATGCGGTGACCCGAGCCGTCGCCATCCGAAGTTTCGTCGGTCTGCTGTACAGGTTTCCTAAAAGCCGGCGGAGGTGGCGGCTGCTGCTGGAACTGGACCATATGATGTTGAGGGTGACCCATGAAGACGGGATTCTGGCGGGGAGCGACTTGGCCGAAGCCTTGTCGGAAGATGTCTGCCGGGTCCATTGGATGTATCGGCGCAATCGCCTATAAGGTAGGTTGAACTTGATCGCGCGCAGGCATCCGATGCCGAGATTATCGATATCGAGAGGCCGATGCGCTGAGATGCACGGTTACGCACACGAGGAATGGAGATGAAGCAAGCAGGGCACAGGGACGGGCCGGGGCCTTGAAAGTGACCAAAACGATGACGATAGAGTATAGCTCCAGGACCAGAGCAGGCGTTTATGGACAATCCGTGATGGTAAGAGATATATACGCTGATGGCAGCATCACCGCTGGTTGACTGAATAATATCGGTCAGACGATTGTGTTGTAGGGAGTATTTGGTGAAGGACACAGGCAAGGTGATTGTGTATGGATGGTATGAACGCCAAAAAGCAGGTCATTTCCAGTTCGACGACGCCCGGGCGGAAAGGAGGGGCAAGGCAACAGGTCGTGGGCAGGTTAGTAGCTGTTGATTGGCTGTTTGACTCTTGCTATGCCCAAGCGTCCAGGGCAAACGAGGTCGCAATAGCGGGGAAACTGTTCAAAGTCGATGCTCGCTAACGAGACCCTGAGAAATTTGAAGCTTCCACTGGAGTTGAAAGCGGCACAAAAGGCTAGGCAGGTCAGGTATGGATGTCAACGCATCACCAGTACCTTGGTAAGTTGACCTAGAGGATTAGGGACTTGGGTGGAAATTAAGAGAGAATGGATCTTGACATTAATCTGTCGCTGGTCTAGACCACAATTTATTTGCTTGAATCCGCTAAAAGGATAAGGTTTGCAGGTTTCGTGATGAGTACCAGAAGTCACGGGCTGTTTAACTCGGCGCAACATATTGGCTGAGTGATGAATGTTTCAACATTCATGAAAGGTTGGTTTCATTCAGGAAACCCGCCCCAGACAAGTTGGACGAAAATTAGCTTTACCTCGACAGGACTAGTCTTAGCTTCTTTTAGTGCAGATCCTTGAATGACGGGTGCTGAAATGTGCTGAAATGTATTGTTCGGTCAGCCCGCTCTGGGACCCTTCAACGTTGATTCCAGGACATGCATCTCACGTGGATCATGTGGCTGAGAAGCTATATACGACATTCGATGGCGTGCGTACGAAGAACGATCGATATGCGATACTCGTGTCAGCAATGACATGTCGCGCAAAGAGGCCAAATATGGTCAGGATGTCCCTCAACAACACGTAAAGGACCTATGTACGATTCCCTATTATAGATTCAGGCATCTGCCGTAATCTGATAGAGCCCACTCCAGCTTTGACCGAACATCGTGTCACATCGTGTTATGGGTTGCGGAACTTGAACTCGATACTCAAGTACCGAGCGGAATTGATGCTCCTCCAGCCGAACATCCAGCCGGGCGAATAGTTATGCATGCATGATTTCTTCTGTTTTCATCTGCCATGGATGTCTTGCTCACAAGACCCGCTAATATTATCCTGACCTTGAAGTCTGTTCAGCCTCCATCAGTTGATAAATAAGCTACAAAACCTTGGCATCCCACGTTCAATGTTTGATACCGGTACTTTGTTTTGTGTGGACCAGCGCTGTACAAAACTCAATCTTACAGGCTACTCAAGTACTCACGTTTACAAACTGTAAGTCAGTCGTTAATAATGTTATAGTATTTACTTATCGCTAGTCCAAGTATGATGCGCTCAGCTGAGCCCATTGCGGAACGAGTTTCGATCTGAAGTAGAGAAAGCTGTAGCTCTATTCAGATCAATATTGCTTGACATGTCGTAACGAGGTTGAGGGGGCTACGATTATACAGTGTTCTGCAGGTCAAGTACGTACATATATGAGTATTCGGCAGTATTTAAAGTATAGCATTGAACTGACGTGCATCGGGGAAACGA